TATCTGGGATTTGAAAAAGTAGGCTATATTTTATTCATATAAAATATGAATTCTAAATTTTTATCAAAGTAATTTATGCATATGGTTTAAAAAGTCAAATATTTCTGTTAAGCTGTGGCAAATCAGTACCCTCCTGCCTGATCCCTCTTTTCAGAGGCAGTAATTTTAAAATACTTGAGATTTTTTTCTCATATTCACTTGCATATTTCGACACTGAATTATGTAAAAGAGATTTAATGATTTTAGTGAGCTCCTAAGAGTATGAAAGAGAAGGAACAAAAATCAAGGAAAGTATGTGATTCTGAGCATGAGGAGGCTCTTGAAAGAAAGTTTGTTCTATTTCTGATTTTATGTTTTAGATATTGTCTCCTAGAAAATATGAAGGTTTTATTTTCAGTATAGTATCTTCTCAGGTTTAGGACTAAATCAGTGTTTAAATTATTTTGTTTGCCATTTAATGGTGAAAATAGAATTGTAATTGCATTTTCTTTCTTGTACTTTTTTGTTTTTCCCTGAAGTTAATAGTTACTTCATTTTTCGATTGTCTGATTTTCTTTATGTATACTGATATTTTATTCCCACATTCCCAAGAGAGGTACAAATCCTTATGCAGTGTGTTCAAATGCTTTAATATTTGTATCAATTTCATTTTTTCTTTCCTTAGAAACGCCTGTTGGGGAGGCTTCAGTCCTCCTGCTTAACTTCGAGCAGCATTTGGCTGTCATTCTGGGAATTCCCTTTGCCTCCTTCTGTCTTGGTTTCCCTGCTACTCACGCCTCCCCCTGTTTTCACTCCCTCGTTTAGAAGAATACATTTTTCAGTGGCTTTCTGATAATGGATTTATGGGAGAAAACATTTTTGAAACCTTGCATATATAAAAATATCTTTATTCTACACCCACATTTGAGTGTTAATCTGGCTTGCTAATGATTTTGGGTTACGAATAATTTTGATCTAGAATTTTAAAGGCATTATTCCATTTTTTTCCTAGTGTTGTTACTGAGAAGCCTGATGCTGCTTTTCTCGATAGACACTTTTAGTTCAAATCTTCCCTATATTTTCGGCATATTGAAATTTCAAGACATATGTGCCTTAGTATGGGTCTTTTTTGGTATCCTTTTTGTGGGACACTCAGTGTTTTTCTCTTCCATTTTCTTAGTTCTCTCTTTCTGGACTTCTCATTTTTAGGATGTTTGTCTTCCTAGATTGCTAGTCTTCTGATTTATTTTTCTTTTTTCTTTTTCTTCTCTTTATTTTTGTTGGGAGCATTCATTAACTATCTTTCAGCTCTTTTATAGAATTTTGTATTTCTGCTATCTTATTTTTAACTTCCAAAAACTCTTTATTGTTCTCTCAATGCTTTTCCTTGTTAATATACACTTTGTTACTGTTTTAGTTGCAAATCTTTTGTTGTCTACGGATATTAATTTTAGTTTTTAAAGATATTTTTCTTCTTTTCCTTGCATTTTTATTTTTTCTGGATTCTTTCCTGTTGTTATTATGCTTTCTCTTTTATGTTAGAAGTTTTTTTCACATGTTTTGCCAGCTGAGGTTAATACATGTGTTGCAGATCAGATGTACCCTCTGAGTGGGCAGTTATATCTTTCGGAATCCAGAGGGCCTGAGTGGAGTGTGCTCAACTCCTCGGATGAATCAATTAGATCAGTTCCTTTTTCTCCCATGTGGAGGAACGATTTGGAGGGGCAGAGAATAGGAAAATAAGCACTCTTCTCTTATTTCTTTTATAAAAGCTAATTGTATTACATAAAATTGTTCAAGAAGTAAGGTACTTTTGTAAGGGAACCAATGTGATGTGTATAGTTCAGGTACAGTGGTTTTGATGAAGTAGGGATAAACTGCAGAAAGCAGAAGAAGGTATCATGTAGCTGATAATGCTCTTACCTGGTTTTGGGTATCCACTGTTTATAATCATCTTTTGTCAAGTGAAAATTTATGGTTTAGTACTGCTCGGTTTGCTAATATTCTGATATGTAGATTAAAGAGAGGTTATGTACTTTAGGTTCCGGACTTCCAAAAATCAATGTTGATATTTTGAGTAC